AGAAAAGGAAAACAGGAAAGCAATAAAAGCACAGTAATTTTGAAAAATCCCTTAAGTAAAAAGTTTGACAAAATGGGGCGCCTGGGTGGCTCAGTGGGTTAAGCCACTGCCTTCGGCTCAGGTAATGGGATCTCAGGGTCCTGGGATCGAGCCCCGCATTGGGCTCTCTGCTCAGCAGGGAGCCTGCTTCCTCCTCTCTCTCTCTGCCTGCCTCTCTGCCTACTTGTGATCTCTGTCAAATAAATAAATAAATATCTTTAAAAAAAAAAGTTTGACAAAATGGACATCAATCGTTCTAGAACTTTGATTCCTACAGTCTTTAAAAAGATTTGGTCTAGGGGCACCTGGGTGGCTCAGTGCAATAAGCCTCTGCCTTTGGCTCCAGTCATGATCTCAGGGTCCTGGGATTGAGCCCTGAGCTGGGATCGAGCCCTGAGCCGGGCTCTCTGCTCAGCGGGGAGCCTGCCTCTCTGCCTACTTGTGATCTCTGTCTGTCAAATAAATAAAATCTTTAAAAAAAAACATGTATTGGTCTAGCACCTAGTAATTTGTAAGCTGCTATGATTATAGATCTGGGATTTCATTCATATAACACTATAATTCATTCTTTTACTGAAGATTTATTTTTTTTAGAGCCAGAGAGCCCGAGAGTGAGCAAGCACAAGTGGGGGGAGAGGCAGAGGACGAAGGAGAGGGAGAGGATCTCAAACAGACTGCTCACTGAGCCTGGAACCCAACACGGGGCTTCATCTCATGACCCAAAGATCACGACCTGAGCTGAAATCAAGAGTCGGACAATTAACTGATTGAGCTACCCAGCCACCCCTATAATTCATTCAACAAATACTTATTGAATATCTACTACTATGGAAAAACAAAGACTGAAATATTTTAAAACTCTTCCCTAAAGACATTTAAAAGTCTAGAAGAGATGGGGTGCCTGGGTGGCTTAGTGGGTTAAAGCCTCTGCCTTCAACTCAGGTCATGATCCCAGGGTCCTGGGATCGAGCCCCACATCAAGCTCCCTGCTGAGTGGGGAGGCTGCTACACCCTCTCTCTCTGCCTGTCTCTCTGCCTACTTGTGATCTCTGTCTGTCAAATAAATAAATAAAATCTTGGGGGGAAAAAAAGTCTAGAAGAAATGATACAAATAGTAGAAAGCATAAGAAATGTACCATCTAGTTAAAATGTGAAGATTGCTCAGAGGAGACAGAAATTATCTGCAATTTGGTGGGGGTAAACAATAAGCGTGGATTTAAAGGACAGTGATGGGTACCTGCGTGGCTCAGTTGGTTAAGCATCTGACTCTCGATTTTGGCTCAGGTCACAACCTCAGTGTCCTGAGATGGAGCCAACATCAGGTTCTGCGCTGGTCATGGAGCCTGCTTAGCATTATCTGTCTCTCTCTCTCCGTCTGCCTCTGCCCACCCCCCACCCCCACCACCAGGCACAGGCTTGTGCTCTCTCTCTTAAAAAAAAAAATTTTTAAAAGACAGGTAGACTTTAGGGGTGTCTGTCTGAATGACTCAGCTGCTAAAGCAAGCAACTCCATCTCAGGGTTGTAAGCTCAAACCCCATGTTCAGTGTATAGATCAAGTAAAATTTTTTTAAAAGATTTTATTTATTTATTTGACAGACATAGATCACAAGTAGGCAGAGAGGCAGGCAGAGAGAGAGAGGGGGAAGCAGGCTCCCCGCCGAGCAGAGAGCCTGATGCGGGGCCCGATCCCAGGACCCTGGGATCATGATCTGAGCCGAAGGCAGAGGCTTTAACTCCCTGAGCCACCCAGGCATCCCAAATCATGTAAAATTTTTAAAAATCTTTAACCAAAAATAAATAAATAAAGTAAAATAAAGGACAGGCAGACCTTAGACAAAGAGGCTTTCTGCTGAAGAAAAGCACAAAAGATGGAAAGTCACAATGAAAATAATTTAATTTTACAGAAATGGAAAAAATTGCAAAATAGTAAACAATAATGTGTAGTTGGGAGGTTCCCAATTCTGGCAACTTAAATATCCAGACCAGATCAAATCACCAATTAAAACATCTAAAATTGTACCACTCATTCTACTGCTGCTCTACAAATACTTTAAAATTAGTGACCCATGACCCCTTTTACCCGTTATATTTCCTAATGGAATGAGATGATGAAACAAATTTTATTCACACTGTAAACTGGAGCAAACTTTTAGTTCTCTTCATAAGACAAATTACTTTTCCAATTTTGAGTATACATGCTCAAAGTTAGGCAAGAACAAGAACCTTCATTTTCCTTCCAATTTATATAAACAACATACACAAGTGATACTCGAGCTTCATCTTGACATCACAGTGCAAAAATTAAGTTGTTCCATTCACTATGGAAGATCAGTGTTCTAGTCTCAGTTCTTTAATACTGTGCAAGCTGCTTTAGTGATCTGTGCTTCAGTTTCTTAACTTGTAAAATGAAGTGGTTCAACCTGGATGATCAGCAAAGGACCTTCTAACTTCAAAATCCTATACTTGATGCTACACCATCTTTCCCACAGAAGTCATTGTGATAAGGCCAACTATTAAAAAAAAGGGGGGGGTCTTCCTCCAAAAACATGTAATAAAAAACTACCCTTTATTGAGCACATACTAAATGCCAGGCTCTATTTCTTTCTTTCTTTTTTTTTTTTTAAGATTTTATTTGAGAGAGACAGAGAGCTAGCTAGAGAGCATGAGCATGGTGGAGGGGCAGAGAGGGAGGAAGAAGCAGACTCCCCACTGAGCAGGGAGCCCAGAGCAGGGGGCTAGATGCAAGGACCCTGGGATCATGACCTGAGCCAAAGAGACGCTTAACCGACTGAGCCACCCAGGCACCCCGCCAGGCTCTATTTTTTATTTCACTTAATCCTCATTTATAACCATAAAAGCAGGTGGTTCCCCTACTTTACTCACAAGGTGTTATCCATCTCTTGACTGGTCCAATCAAATTAGGGGTGAAAGACAAGGATTCAAATCAGGTCTAAATCCAAACCAAGCTCCATAAACCATACCTGCTGCCTCAAACAAAAAAATATCAGAAATAGGGGGGCGCTGGATGGCTCAGTCGTTAAGTGTCTGCTTTCGGCTCAGGGCACGATCCAAGGATCGGGCCCCAAGTAGGGCTCCCTGCTTGGTGGGAAGCCTGCTTCTCCCTCTCCCACTCCCTCTCCTTGTATTCCCTCTCTCACTGTGTCTCTCCCTGCCAAATAAGTGAATAAAATCTTTAAAAATATATATATCAGAAACAAAACAAAACCTGAAGACGTACGCTGTGACTTTGGTAATCTGGAGAGAGTATGGTATTAGAATAGGTCAGTTTGAGTGCCTTGTAACCATGTGGGAGCAGAGAGAAGGCAAACATGGGGAGAGTGTGTGTGTGTGTGTGCGTGCCCCCCCCCACACGCACGCGCGGGTGAAGTCTCCTAATTTTCAAATGGAGGAAAACAGATTCACCAGCTTTCAACTTTTGCTTTAAACAGTTCTAATCCAGGTCTGAGAGGTTAATTTTAATATTACCTAAATTTCCAAAATTCCCAGATAAGTATTAAAATATGGGCATCAGCAAGAAAACTTCCTCGAAGAAGGCAAACCATGGTTGAATCCTGACCCTACTACTAACAGTGCGACGTTGGTCAAGTTACTTCGTCTCTCGAAACCTCATTTCTTCATTTGTAAAGTGAAGATACTATCACCCATCTTGTAAGGTGGTTAGATTAATGGAGAATACAGATTATAGAGAGCTCAGCATAGCACCTTCCTCAAGGTAAGAGCTTGACAAACAAAAGGTATTATTATCCTTCCAGATCCGGGTAACACAGAACATAGGGCCTATGTTCATAGACATCCCAATTATGTCTATGAATACGACACAAAGTTTACCTTTAAAATGTCATACTTTGTCGCTTTTCTGTAGATCTAAAATTATTCTCGGGGTGCCTGAGTGTCTCAGTCGTTAAGCCTCTGCCAAGCGTGGCCTCAGGTCCTGATCCCAGGATTGTGGGATCGAGACCAGCACTGGGCTCCCGGCTCAGGGGAGGAACTACTTCTCCCTCTCCCACCCACCCTGCTTGTGTTCCCTCTCTCGCTGTCTCTCCCTCTCTGTCAAATAAATAACTAAAATCTTAAAAATTATTCTCAAATAGTTTATTTTTAAAATGCCGCACACACTAATTTCTAATAGAAACTAACCAAACTTCAAAGTAAGTTTATCCTAAACCTAACGTTGAACCAACGATCAAACAGCTTTCAATGGCTAACAAGTTTTTAAAGTGACGCTGCAAATCATGTTTGCACCGAGGGTTCAGACTTCTGAATGGGGTGAGCGTAAGGGAAAGCCACGGAGGTGTCCCAGAGCGGTGTGAGCACGAAGTACCCCTACACGTTCAAGCGAGCATTTCCCAAAAGGCACAGAGTTGGAGGAGCCCGAAAAACGAGGTCTGAACTAGTAACACCTGCCAGAACGACCTTCCTGCAGTTGAAGGGGCAGGAGCAGGTGGCTCTGTGCCCCCAAACTATCTTTTTATTCTCAGCCACATGCTCGGGTCAACAGCTGGGTTTTAAACCTCGCAGTCCCCCCATGCCCCATTCCAGGCTGCGACGGAGGCAGCAGCACTTCAGGTTCCTCTCGAGACAGGCGAAGGAGGCAAGGGCCCGCAGCCCCCGGGGGCACAGGGGACAGGTCGAGTCACCTGTGCGCTGGATCGAGCCATTCCCGGGCGGCACCGGCTGAGGACCACCCCCCACGCCGGGCCTGCGGAGCTTTGGGGCGCGGCTCCTGTCAGCCCGGCCGAAACGCCGCGGTGGGGGCTACGCGGGGGGCGTAAGGGAATAACTCCGGGGTTTCAGCAGAGAAAGGGAGGCAAAGGGAGAGGCGGCATGTGGACCCCCAGCCCACGGCGGGGCGCGGGAAGTCACCTCCAGGCCCCCGAATCCTCCGTCCCGTTCCTGCCCGAACCCTTCCCAAGTCCCGGACCCATCGCGCTCCTCTCACCGTCTCGGCTTCTGTGTGCTGGGGTCCGGCGCTCTGACCCCCCATTACCCCGCGGAGGAAATTCATCTTGTCGCTCAGCCACCGGCTCTACCGGCCCCTTCGGGAAAGAAAAGGTAACTTTCCCTGCCTTCGGCCGGGCCTGGCCCCCAAGCCCGCACCCTGCACTCCCCAGCCGCGGCCACCAACGCCTCCTACTCGGCGGCCGCTCCAGCCCCCTAAGCCCGGAAACAGCCGCCACCACTAGTGAAGATGCGCATGCGCGGAGACGTGGCATTACGTGGCGGCTCGAAGGGCGAAGGCAAAGGGGAAAAGTAGGCGAGCGGAGGCCGGTAGCCTGTACCCGCCCAAGTCCCGCCCACTGCGCTGGCCCCTCCTCCCTCGGCAGGGACACGCCTCCTGCTCCCGCCCTCCGCGGGTAGCTACCGCTGGCCGCAATCACCCACGTGGTCGAAGCCCGGCCCTGCCGGCTGGAGAGAATCCCGGTAGTGTACGTGTTTTGGCTTGCGGGGTGTTTAATTGTCGCCGGAGGGGACTTACTGTCAGCTGTCGAGTCTGGGGTCGTATTTTGTGGAGTCGAAAGTGAAATTTTACTTCGGCCGACGTGACAGGTAAGGGGTCCCGGCCCCTGGGAGGGTTCCTTCGGGTTTGCGGTTTAGGAGTAGGAGCCTTGGGGCCTTCGGATCCTTGTAAATTACATTTCTTCACAGGGCTTTGTTTGGTGGTAAAAAGAGTGGTAGAGCCCCCTCATTCCACGGCCACCGGAGGGCGCGTTTCTCGGCGCTTGCTCTCCAAACCTGTTACAAAAGGAATTCCTAGATCCTAACGCCAGGTACGCCGCTGTTTTCAAGTGGTGTGAGGTGGTCGAACCCTGCATTTAGTTTGAGAAAAAAGGCACGGATCTGCGGTGTCAGTTGGGCAGCTAGTAGCATCCTAATTTGTTATTAACTCTCAACCCCTGCATTTTCAGTGCTTTTTCTTTTTAAACGTGAAAAATGTCATTTTTCTCAAAATGGAATGCCCTGTTCCTTTCGAAATGAGATTCCCCAGGTAGGTACACATGCTTCTGGAGTAGTCTTGTCGATTTCTTGAGCCTGAAAAGCGCAGGGTCGAGTTAGCTTACTGATTCATACACCTCTGCACTTGGATCCCTGCAGGTCTCAAATTCGTCGTTTAAAATTGAACTCATCATTTCCCCCAGGCTCCACTGAAGGAAAAAAAAAAGATAGACAGACATCAATATGCTTCTTTGTGCCTTGCCACCCTCAGCAGTACCACTAGCCAAATAATTGCCTAAGCTAGGAAGACACTGGGAGGAATCTTATGTTCTGGATTTTCACCCCCACATGCCCAGTATTCGAGTCCTTTCATTTCTATTTCTAGAATATTTCTCGAACAAGTCCTATGTTCTTCATCCTCTCTGCCTCTGACATAGTTTATGTTCTCATTATTTTTCACCAAGATTATAGCAGTAGCTTCCTAACCAGTTTGTCTGCATTCAAGCCCTGGCTTCTGTCCAGTCCAGTCACCCTTCCATGGGTCTAACAATGACAAAACATCTGTCCATGTTGATACTCTTCTTAAAATCCTCCGGTGGTTGTCCATCTGCTCCATAATAAAACCCAGTCTCTGTAGCTTGCTGTACAGGCCTGTTACGTTCTGGCTTCTATCTTTCCAGCTGATGCCTCCCCCACATACTCTGGAATTAGGCCTGGATATGCCCTTCCCCTCCCACTTCCTCATCCAGGAAACTCCTACTGGTTCCTTAAGACTTAACTCTGGCATCATCTGAAAGCTTTCCCCGAAATCCGGATACATATGTCTATGCTAGCACTTGGCCGTGGTTAATATGTGGAAAACACTCAGTAAATGCTTGGGAAGCCAAACTGTTAAGGGCAGGATTATGTTACTCGTTTCTGTATCTCTGTGTGGTTGGCACTATCATAAAAGATGAGACTGATGGGTAAATGAAGCAGACATTGTGGATATGTGAATATTATGCTGAGGAGGAGGGTCCTTTTTTCCTCTGTGGGGTGGAATGGTAGATAACACATATCGTGGAGGTTATGGTGAAAGTTCCTTTCCTACTGCCAAGGTTTTAAGCTTGGGTGACTTGGAGAATGGTTGGGATCATACTGCCCAAAATACTGTGCACTAAGCATTCATTGTCTTCTGCTTTAAAACTGGACACTTGACATTTGCTTCAGACATTTTCCATGGGTGCATTTTGTTGCAGCCTAAAAAAAGTGACCAATAAATGCTCAGCATTGCTATTACCAAGTAAAGTATGCAAAAAACCTCACTCAGTCCCTAAGCCCCAGCCTTTGGGGAGCCTCTCTTCCCCTTCTTCCTGTGCCTCACTCTACCCCATCATCTGGAGTGGGGCCCATGGATATCTACTGCATGTATTCTTTCATAGTAAAAAAACAGTGCCTTGACATTTTAGCTAAATTCTTTTAAGCACCGACCTTGTCAAAGTGTCCTGCTTTGTTTTAACCTGGTGAGTATTGTAGGTCAGTAACAGCATACAGTGAGTTTTCCCTCCAGTTGACCTGTTTTCTTTCCTAACAGCATCCCCTGGGCTGGAAGGACTATGGGCAGGAGGGATGGACAGTGGGTCCAGAGGAGGTAACGGTCGAGCCCCCATTCTCCCCCCAGCCTCAGAATTTTGCCTCTGTCTTAGTGTCTGGCAAGGGGTGGAGCAGCTCACCACTCCCAGTCTCAAGAGGAAGTAGAGAGGGTACCGTGGCTAATTTGTCCCTCATTTGGGGTCTGAAAGAGGACCACAGACATCATGATTGCAGAACAGCCATGATACGGACTTCTTATTTAAGAGAAAGGGAGTTACATATGAATGTACTTCCACCAATTTCATAGAGAAAAATCAGGGACCTTGTCTTGTTCCTGTCTGTGCCCTTTAATCACCCAGTATAATTTCTTTAATGTGGTAGATGTTCAAGGACTGTTTCTTCAATAAAGGAAGAGAAAACATGAAAAAATTGTGACTACCTGACTTACGCTTCAGACTTCCATAAATCTAAATATTCAGGATAAGAGTGCCACAAATCTTTAAAATACACATAATCAGGGGCGCCTGGGTGGCTCAGTTGGTTAAACGGCTGCCTTCGGTTCAGGGATCAAGCCCCACACCGGGCTCCCTGCACAGTGGAGAGCCTGCTTCTCCCTCCCCCTTGCCTGCCACTCTGCCTACTTATGCTCTCTCTCTCTCTCTCTGTCAAATAAATAAATCTTAAAAAAATAAAATCAGATACACATAATCAAAAATTTTAACTTGGGTGAATAAAAGTGGTTTTTCTTTAAACCAAACCTGATAACAAAGCAACAACAAAAATTAACTGGTGCAAAACTCATGATTTAAATTGCCTCCTTACAATCCCCTACTTCAGTGTCTCTTCAGTGGCCCCCTTTCCCCATCCTAACTTTCTCGTGGCAAACTCAACTAAGCAATGAAACGTAATTGCACAAAATTGTTTTTTGGTTGGGGGGATGGTGGTGTGGTGGAGTATTGTCTATACCTGCTTAGAAAGATGAAATGATAATTTGTACTTGAAATACACCATACACAGGTGTTCAGAGACTAATTACTGCAGAAGCAGTGTCCAAAAACTTTGTTTTGTTTTGCTTTTTTTTAAGCCAACTCTGCACAATGTGGGGCTCGAACTCATGACCCAGAGGTCAAGAGTTGCATACCAGCCAAGGGCCCCCTCAAAGCATTGTTGATACAATTATGCATTACTAGCCATTAACGAAACAACAGAGAGAAAAATAAATTACTAAGGATGAGACAGCTGTCAAAATTCATAACCAGTCAATAATAACAATATTAAACACATAGGTGGTATGCCTTATTTACCAGGCTCTGTCTATCCAAAGTGTTTTACATAAAATACTTCACTTAATCCTCACAGCAACCTCATGAGGTAGGTAGTGACAGTAGCCCCATTTTACAGATGGTGAAGCAGGAAGAGAGTAATTTGCCTGATGTCATATAGCTAGGAAGTGGCAAATGTAGGGCATAAATCCAAGATCTGGCTCCAAAGCCTGCACTCTTCACTGCAAGGCTACCCAGCCTCTTGTACACTAAAGGCAATGATCAAGTCCCTATGTAGTCTGGCCCCCTCTTATCCCCTGACCTCTCCTCCTGCTACATTCCCTCCACTCCCGCCACACTAGCCCGTTGTGTTTCTGAAACTTACTCTCCCCTCCCCCCTGGTTCTTTCCCCGTATTGGGGATGCTGTTCCACCCAGACAGAGGAAGGAATGGCTTGCTCCTTCACCTGTTTAATTCTGCTCAAATGTTACCCAGGTCTCTCCCGACCGTTGTAAGTTGCAGTTTCCTTATACTCTTTCTCCCTCTGCTCTGCTTATTTTTCTCTGTAGCACTTGTCAGTCTGGGACGGTATTCTCCCATCTGTAGTATTTTCCTGCATTTCATCAGATCTAAGACACCATTAAGTACCCCTCAGAGAAAGAAAAAAATTTAGCCCTGCCAGCTGCCACATGCATCTACCGAAAGATACATCCCACTTTCAGGTTTCATAAAACGTGAAAAAAATATTCATTGTAGCACTAATGGAGTACAGTATGTATTTTACATCTTTATCTTGTTGATTGTCTCTATGCTCATTGCCAGCAAGATGTAAGTCCATTTGGGCAGTGATTTTAGTCCTTTCGTGAAATGCTTTATCCTCAGCGCTTAGCACAGTATCTGACATGTACTGAGCACTTGGTAACTCTGGGTGAATGAGTTCCCGAGGCGAGGAAATTCCTGCTTTCAGCCTGGGTGCCTCGGAGCAGAAATTCTGCAGCGTTGCTCAGCATTGTGTGGCAGCCGGACTCCCTCAGCAGAGTCTGCATCGGGGTCCCCAGAAAATGTTATTAACGTGCTCATTTTTTACTTGATGAGTATTTTGTTGGCCTTTAATCACTATCTTAATAGCTCATGTCTACTCACATATGAAGGTAAATGTTCTGTGGGAGAAAGAATTTATATTTTTAGGACTAGATCTCGGCCCACTGGGAGAACCATCTTGACCTCCCAGTGGCCAGCTTACCTTGCTTGCATATTCACACTAATAACTGGTTTTCTTCTCCTCCCTGTTCTCCTTCTCCTCTTCCTCTTCCTCCTTCTCCTTCTCCTTCCCTTCCTCCTCCTTTTTCTAAGACAGGTGATACATTCACATGGTTAAAATAAAAAGCACAGTAGGGCATATAGTAAAAAGTTGCCCTACTGTATTCC